CATCTATTTCAATATTTAATGACAACTATGTGACTTCTTCCTCAAACAGTAGACGAAAACTTACTTTTCCTTAAACAGGATAAACACAGTACACTTTGTTTAAACTTTGAATTCGAGTGTAGCAGTCACTAGGTTAAAAAGTTATTCGGCAATTGAGCAACTTTTTTTATAACCGAAAGCTACCCTTTCTTTCAGTATAAAATTTAAAGGAGGCGTCATTTGCTATCAAACAAGTACACGAAATAATTTCTTCGTGCATGTTTTCTATAAAATATATTTAAATTTTAAAGGCAGTCAAACTCAATGATAAAAAGGCATACTACTTAGGTAGCCAGTTTTTACAATAGATACTTTTTGCTGGTAGTCAGGACGAAGCTCGTTAAAGAGCCCGCATCTTATCATGACGGAATAAACTTCGGAATAGACTACACGATAGTCAATATCACAACCTGAGTCGATACCGATTAGCGAAAGAGTATCAATTTTTCGCCTATGTCGAAATGTTGCGTGAATTGTGGCGTCTACTGTACGTTTGATAGTCTGGACAATCAGGTACATATCTGGATGGCAGATAGTGAAACATGTTTCACAGACAGACTCCCAAATCAGAGTAGTAAGCAGTCGCAGACCGTGAGGGAAATATATCGCAGCGGATGGCAAATACTTGATTTAACAAACAGATGACCTGTACGAATGTCGTAAGTTAACGCTGCGTTACAAGTCAGTGAGGCCTCAAACCCGACCGTCGTCTTAAGGATTAAAACACTATAATGAGGCCGGATGGGACTGGAGTGTTCACTCGCTCCATATCCTTTAGAATAGTCTGCCTTCAAAATCAAATAGACTAAGATGGGTCATAATATTCAAAGGAAAGCCAACAATTCAGTTGTGAAACAAGCAAAAAGTAAGACGTAAATCGCAAAGAAAGTACTTTCGAAGTGTGAATGCTTCCACCTATCATATAAATAGAGCAACATTTCGTTTACAAAGTAGAAGGTAAAACTAAAAGTCAGTAGATTCACAATTAAAACCTCCACCGAGAGTTATTTTAAAGGGGATCATGAAAATTTTTTTCTGGAAATGGGACTTAAGGATATAATCTATCTGTGGGCAGTGAGTGGCTTCTAATGCAATTGCAGGTGTTGGTTGATTACTTAAGTGAAGTTGAGGGCGTAAGTCAGAATCCAATTACGAGGTTAGCTTAAGAAACAATTTAGGTGTCGAACAATCACAATTTTCACACATATATAACTCTATTGCCGTGCTTGATGATAGCAATTTATGCCTAAGTATTTAGAATATCGGTATTTACTCAAATCTGTGTTTAGCACGGCAGCCGTGGGAAATGTTATTAACCACGGTTAAATGGTATATCGAATAATGCGCCAGACCTGTTTGATATACGATATTCCAAACGAGAAGGGAGGATTTTCCGATCAAGATTAGCGGATGGATGTGTACTTAATGCCTACTTATTACAGTACTTGAGAGGGACAACGCTC